AATCCCTAATCCTAAGCCCTAAACCCCAAACCCTAAACCCTAGATCCCTAAACCCTAGATCCCTCAACCTTTCCCCCCAGGTCACAGAAGTTGAGCTCGAAGACGTCGAGGCCCGGCTCTTTGCAGGTAAGTGGGTTAGGGTTTAGGGTTAACTCCTTGAAGAGGGTTATATATACCTTTATAATGGAGAATCAAATGAAAAAGAAAATGGAACATGAAATGGCAACTGCTGTATATACACATATATGGGAATTCTGGAGGTTGCTGAGTGCAAGTAGGTTCTCCTGCACCTGAGACTACAACGCGGTACAGGGCTTAGGGTTTCAGGGTTTAGGGTTTTAGGGTGTCAGGGCTTAGGGTTCTAGGGTTCGGGGTTCAGGGTTTAGAGCTTCGGGTTTTAGGGTTCAGGGCTCAAATTTACGATTTAGAGTTTTAGGGTTTAGGGTGTAGCGTAGTGTAAACTCCTTAAAGTAAAGGGTGGGAAGTACGGGATTTTTTAGGGGATGATTCTAGGGGTAAATAGGGGGGATACTTGGAGTTTAGGCTATACATAGCTCATGTAGAATCAAAGCTTTTCGGTTTATTTTGAGTGGGTCTGGGCCATCACTTTACCCACTGTTGCGGTGAAGGACGACTTGACTGGTGTCTTAGTTAGGCTAAATCCGGAGCCTTCACATTCCAAAAGGGATTGGCTCAAGGTAAACCTATACAATCCTTAAAGGGGCGCCCCTGCAACCATCCTGTAATCACCCATGACTTTTGTGAGTTTCCAGGGTGCCCCACCATTTTGAGAGACCCCTAGACCCTAAACCTTGAACTTAGGTGGACCCAGTAAAAGTGACTATGAGGGATAATGGTGATCATATTAGGGTCCTCCTATATTGCGACTATCCCGCTACTACAGGGTGGGGGGGTCTACCTAACCCCTACACCCTAAACCCTAAAAAAGGGCCGGAGCGATGGCATTTCTGCGTTTGGAGGAGGTGCCGAGGCTGCCGAAGAGGTTCTTGTGGACTAGAACGATGAGGGTGCGGTGGGCATGATGCTTGATGTGGCTATCGGCTCGACTCCGGGGACTGAAGTGCAGGTCGGGCAAGTTCAACTACATGGTGTGAGTGTGGGAATAGGGGATATTGTTGCAGGGCCAGTGAGTGAAATTCCGGTCCTGCTTAAGCTCCGTGTCTCAAAGAAGTCCATGATGGACCAAGCCACCCAGACGGAGGGGTGAAACTTCCGACCTGGGCGAGAAAGACCCGGTGCCGCTGCGGCAGACCAAAAGTCTGAAGCGAAGTAAAAAAAACCCTGAAACATGTCTGGCGGAGGCCCAGTTTCAAGGCTCCAGCGTGCAGCTGGCGCAGAGCGTTCCGGAGCCCTCCAGGCTACGGAGTGCTGGGGAGGCTTGGTGTGGGTGAGAGTTGTGGAGGGTTTGGGGTTCAGGGTTTAAGGGTTTAGGGTTTGGGGCTTATCGATGTTTGCTTGAAGGGCAACGGGCCTAAGGTTGAGGGCTTAGTGCTCGAGGGCGTAGAGTTGAGGGTGTAGGGTCTAGATAGGATTGAGGGTGTAGGGCTCAGGCTTTACAGTCATTGCCTTGGCTGGACCCAGGGCATGTGGACCTTCGAAGTTGGGATTCTGTTTGGTGAGGACGATGCCTTTTGGAGGGGTTTCTGGGGACGCAACACGCAGGGAACCGATGAACAGTCCACCTACCCTTTTCCTACAACCTCTTCCCAAACGAAACTGACTCTCAGCGTCAACTTAGGAAGACAAGCCAAAGGCCCAAGTTGATCTGTTCACCAGCGTCTTGCGTTGTGTTTTAATTTTCTGCATGGCCATCCCAATGCTAAAGGAAACTTCCGATATTTTGACACTGTACATACTGCCCTAAGCGTACCCACCATTCTCGCAATTGCCGTGAAAGCAGTACTGGTAGAAGCCATCGAAGCCATCAGACAGATGGAAGCCCTTATAATGCTTATAGTGGGAGTGGGTCCCACAAACACCCCTTCACAACCCCATCTAATGCGGCTGCTACCATACTGGTAGTCCTGCATGAACCTAAGTACCTCATTATATTCCCTTCTGGAAGTATGGTATCTAGCCATGCAGGGCATTGTATCAGAGTAAATTATGTCAGTTTCAATTTTCTTGGCCATTCCTAACCCATTCCCCCCTCTCCGCCTAAGTATGAATAGATATTATATCTTCCCGTGCTCCCTATTAAGAACCAGTAAGGCTTTGTAAGATAAGCTCGCAGGCTCAGGGAGGGTTGGACTCCACCCTCGCTGCACTCAAAAAGGCCGAGCATATGCTTGAAGGGATTCTCTGTGTTGTGGTTCAAAAATGCCCTACAAACCCTAAACCCTAGTATTCATAGGCTTCATGGCCCAAAGTAGGTAAGGCTTCATGTTATTCATGGGCTTTCGGGTCGTAGCAGGTTCCATGTACAGACTTGCATGCCCAGTTTGGATCAGCTCGCAGACTTTGTTGTGAGAAGTTTCAACTTCTGCGAGCATAGGCTTCATGGGTCCGATAGGTGACGTGAGGCCATCGTAGGTATTCTATCTAGTGTATCCCATGAGGGCCCAGGGTTTAGGGTGTAGGGCAACATGCCTCCCCGTTTTGGCAGCTGCCCAGCCTGAATCCTAGGCAGCTCCTGTTGCGGGATTGGAAGTTTGTGGTTGACAGCTTGCAGGGAATTTCACAAGTACTGCCGTAGAATGCTGCCATGGAGAGGTCGACCTAGAAAAAGGGAATGTTGTGCTCCTCCTTTTCGTAGCGAGCCGCCACCGCCGCCGCAGCAGCACTACTAGCAGCTATACCTCTCTGGCTGCCAAATTCCCTTCAGTTACTCTCTCTCTCTCTTCTTTTTGTTGCTTTGTCTTTCTCATTCTTGCATGCGTGTTCTTTGTCTCTGCGCCTCTCTCTCTCTCTCTCTCTTCTCCATCTCTGTCTGTCGGCCTATGCCTCCCTCCCTCCCTCCCTCCGTCCCTCCCCGAACTGCAAACAACAAGTTCAGTGACATCATCATGACCAAGACTTCAGATTGTTCGAAAGCAATTGTTCTAGTTGCGCTTACCTTGGCCTTTGTCGATGTTTCATTGATAGAGTCTGCAGCAACGGAAATCGTCGCGCATGTCACGCCAACCCACCAAACTTTCTATCCCACCCCCCGTCCGCCTTAAATCGTCAACCCTGCGCCCCAAACCCTAGAATCGAATCCCAAACCCCAAACCTTCAATCCTAAGGCTCTAAGGGCCCCACATTCTGAACCTTACCTAGACCCTTACACCCTACCCCTTCTTTAGGGTAACTAACTTTGTATATAAAGCATACCAGACATAAAGTTAGGTAAAGGTAACCTCAAAAAGGGGTAGGGTTTAATGGTCTAGGTAAGCGCACTCTTGTACATCCTGTCATGAGAGGCCCGAGTCCTGGCAATTCTCCGCTGCCGCGGTTCGGCGGAAGTTGCCGTGGAGCGCGGTTTGGAACTCGCGGCCCTGGGCTGCAAGGCCTGGAAAAACGGGGGGATGTAAGCCTCTGGAGCTTTGGGATTCAGAACCTAGGGGTGGGGTAAGGGGCGTAGGGTTTGGGGATGTAAAAAGTGGGACGTAAGGTTATGGATTTGGGGGTTCAGAATCTAATTAGGGGTGGAGTAAAGATGGGCAGCAGGGCACATCAGATTTTTTGCCTCACAAGTCAGAGCCCTAAACCTTAAACCTTGCCTGTCACCCTGCCGTTAGGCAATGGAGGTGACCCTGGACAGCACGGACTGGCAGGACGTTTTGTCCCAACTGAGGCTTTAGGGTTTAGGGTTTAGGTTGGGTACCGCCCCCACCCAGTAACAGTCCATATGAGGGGTCCTACTAAGGCCTATATATAACCATATTAAAGTTATTATCCAACTGTTACTGAGGAGGCTGTAGGGTTTCAGCTTTGCTAGAGGGAGGTGCCCATATTCACAACTGACAAAGGGCATGCACCTCCCCCAAAAAACACGGCTGTTTTTGGTTTGTTTCAGGCCCAACCATGCTGATGATGTGAAGGCCTCTGAAGTTGCACCCAAGAAACCTGCTGCAAAGCTCTTGGTACTTCAAGTACTTCCCTGCACGCACTTGAACAAGGCAGCCCAGTAGCTCCAAGGACAGCCATGCACCCGTACGATCTTCCAGCCCCAAGGTAATAAACCCATGTTGGTGCCAACTGCGATGTCAATTTCGGCGGAAACTGAACCGTGTCCCTGAACATCTCTGGGGAAGGCAGCGTTTGCCACGCGATGTGCTTCTGGGTGTCGGCACTGTTATGGATGATACCGCGACTTCACTTGCAACCACGGACTCTACACACTGGAGGTACGGTCTGGGGTATTGCGTGCAGTTATGTAAAGATGCCTAACTCCGCAGTACACGGTTTAAGTGCATTTGTGACTACTGGTGCTATGTTGAGACAACTACATCCAGCATCCAGCTCTTTCGGATATTCCCAGCGTAGCAGCGTCAAGAAGAAATTCGATTGGTCTTTGTCTACGAGAGTCTTATTTCTTGTTTGACACGGCGCAGCTGCAGCAGCAGCAGCCGCAGCAGCAGCAGCAGCAGCAGTTTCAAGCAACCAACCCTACAAGTCCAAGTACCTAGTAATCATATTATACTTGCCCAAAACCTGTACTATAATCATTATTACCCAACTCCCAAGTACCTAAATATTGGGTACTTGGACCCTTAGGGCAAAGCAGAATCTTGGGACGTGATGCAACTGGCAGAGTCAGCCCAGGTGAAGCAGATCACTGTGGCCAAAGCCAAAGGCGCTTCTTTTGCGCTGTCACCGATTGATCCGCTGGATTTTGTGGAGGCCCCTGGAAGCTCAAAAGAGCCGAGCTCAGGTAGTTGAATTAAATGCGCGTGGCTTCAGCAAGCACGCGAGCGAAGCAGCATGGACCGTATAGGCATTAATTCCTAATCCCTCGGCCTTCAATCCGCAAGCCTTAAACCCTAAACCCTAAATCCTAAACCCTACCCAGGAGTGCCACAGGCAAGGTGTTCTGGCCATCCCATCAGCAGCGCGGCATCGAAGTTTCAGCTCGCGACCACGGATTGTTACACGCAGTTTAGGGTGGGTTTAGGGTTTAGAGGTTTATGGAGCTCTCAAACCTCCATGGGATTGAAGTTTGCCTGAGAAGGCAGGCCACGGGACCATGTGGGATGTGTTCAAATTACAGGCCTTGTAAAAGGGGGCTAAAGTAAACAAAGCCGATGTGTTTCACGGTACTATTGTTCTGCTTTGTGCATCACATTTCCTTCTGTTCGAATGCCAGACCACCGAATTCATTCCACAGCCCCAAAGCTTAGGCACTCACCAGCAATGAGTGCTGGGCCCTCCATCGACGAGGCCCAGTTCCCATTCTGGCAGGGTGTGGAATGAGAGGTACTACAGCAAGGGCAGAAGAATAAGGAGTACAGAATCCTTCCACCCTAGGTAGGGCCGGGCCTGAAATTTAGGAAGCCTTCCTTCCAGAGACCTCCCGTCTACTTTCCGGGAAGGACGAGCAACATACCCTGCGGCTCCATATCTAGAATTAGTATCTATATTGCGCTTCAAAGTTTTTAAGGAGTACCTACATTGGGCTAGTCGGAGCCCTAGCAGTATTCCTCCACCCAAAATGATCATGTGTGTGTTTTTGGCAATCTCTTTGCCAACCGGGGCTCATTGAGCTTCTTAAAGCCCGTGGTTTGACAGCGTAGGCTGCAGCCAACGGAGCCGTTCGCGCTGATTGGGCACATTTTCCATTTTGGTAGTACAAAGTTGGTCCATATTCCTGTACGCAAAGTGACCATTATGGAAAATACATTCCCTTACCTTTTCCTTCTATAGACCCGTAGGATCCTCCTTAAATTATATTGCCCCAAAGGACCTGACAAGCTTAAGATCAGCCACCACTTATAGTCCCCCTTAAGTAGATGGAATATGGCTTCGGGTATATAATAATAGGATCCCCATATACACCATAGTTTATCTACTACCACGGTACCGGTGCTATCCTTGGGAGGCACACGGCTGATCAAGCTCTTCCCTGCAGGCGAGGGGCTACTACCAGTTAAGGCTCATGGATGGAATTTTCAGATGTACGCCAAAGCTTCCCTGAGCCTAAACCCTAAACTGCCAGCCTTCTTGGCAGGTTTTCTTCGAGGTGAAGTCTGGAGAGTAGATCCCCGAAGTTTGCTGATTTGCAAGGGTTTAGGGTTAAGGGGCCTATATTGGTGCAGGATTGAAGTTGGGCTTGCCAATAACCTGAAAGCTAGGACTTCTGTGACATCTCCTCTAAGAAGAACCTTCTACGCCCTAAGAATACAGATTCTGGCTTGAGGTTTGTTGTGTAGGGTCTAAATATTGTCCCATATCTTTTCATTTTAAGTGCCAGCCGAAGGTGACTAACAAAGCGGTATTCCTCAGGGCTTAGGGCTGAGCACCAAGAAGATCTGGAGACTCGGTTGAGGGTTTAGGGTTTAGAGTTTAGAGTTCTGCAGCCGCGCTGGCTAAACATGAAGTGCTTGTAGTGTTGGGCTATATGGGGTTTCCCAAAACTTGAAAAGCGCCGCTTTGAGGAACGCATATGCAGAAGCGTCATTCCCAAAACTGTTGGATAGTAGTACCACTATTATTGCTATTACGATTAGGTACTATCACTATGACTATTACTATTAACTACGATTAATTACGATGAATTACTATTAATTACTATTCATTATGATCAATTACCCTTAATTACCATTAATTATTAATCCAACTTTCACTACTGCCCTGTTTACCGGCGAGGCCTGCTGTCGCCGGCAATCTTGAAGTCCATGCTCGACATCACCCCGCCACTCAACAGCTGAGAGTTGAGGGTGGGCAGTAGTAAAAACAAGAACTGAATAATGATAGTAATAGTGGGGTAATAGTAATAGCAATAGTATCATAATAGTAATAGTAATAGCAATAGTAATCGGAAGAGGAGTCGTAATGGGAATAGTCATGGGAATAAGAATAAGTATAAACGAGCAGTCTACAGTCTTGGCTTTGGGGTTCAGGGCGCAGGAAGGCCACTTTGAGGGTGTATGGGATGTCAAGGAGCTCTTTGAGACTGAATAATGCTGATATTAATCGGTTTAGGGTTTAGGGCTTATACATGTTTCTACTACAGTACCATTATTCCCAAGGTATCAGGTACTTAGGGTTATGCAGGAACATGTTTTGGAATTCCTTGACAACAGGGCTTCCGTAACCCCAGCCTCCCAAAATAAGGACCTTACGACCATCCTTTGACAATAATGGGCCATGGTTAATTACGGGGGAAAGGGCTAGAATCTCTGTAAGTCACATAGAAGCCAACTTTCCGTTTGGACCCTTCTACGCAAATGCTCTAAGCCCTGAGCCCTCCAACTATTCCGGGCTCCGGGAGTTATATACGGTCCCCCTTAAGTAGATAGAATATGGGGTATATGGGGACCTTGTTAGAATATACCCAAAGTTATATTCTATCTACTTAAGGGGGACTATACGCATGCAGAACTTCACCGTAAATCTGGAGTCTTCGAGCCAAAAGCCGATAAGGCTCCCTGGTCCCATAAAGCCTAAGCCCTAAACCTTCAAGTTACTAGGGGGCTACCCTAAGGGTCCAAGTACCTACTTGGGATTTGGGTAGTAGCAATTACAATACAGGTTTGGGGGAAGTATATGATGATTAGGTACTTGGACTCCTAGGGCTACTGGGAGTTTAGACTATAACCCAGACCCCTGATTAATAAACCCCTGTATAGGGATCCTCGGGGTCAAGGATCTAGGGTACAGGATTTAGAAAATGGCACAGCCGGGGGGATCAGTGCCCTCCCCAATGACTGGTGGCATTGTGGGAAAGCTTCAAAGATTCCATGTGGATTGTTCTCATTCCTTTCAGTTCCTTCACACCCTAAATCCTAATCCCTAAACCCTAAACCCTACGAAACTGACTTCTACATCTGGATGTTGTGCCGACCTTGTGCCTGCGGCCCACGCAAAGCCTAAATGTCTGCCTGTAATTACGTCCCATGCCTTTGACACTAAGCCTTCGCCCAACAGAACCCTAATATACCCCTATTAAACTATTAGAATCCCCAATGTAGCGCCATTAAAAAAAAAAACTAATGTAACCCTTCTATACTCCCTAATATAGCGCCATATATAACCCTAATATGACCCCAATATAACTCCAATAACTATCAACTTAGAGCTAAGGCATCTCGCAGAACTTGCTGCGCTTGTTGATGTTACTGTATCAACTGTCTTTTCAGACCAAGCTTGGAAAACCAAGGCTGCATGTACGCCTGACCTTGCTGCGGGGTAGGAGTATGGAGGGTTGTTCTAAAGATCCTCATAAAGAAAGGGCCATTGGGAATACACTTCCTCAAAAGGGGATCCTAACCAAACAGGGAACCTACGTTATGGCCATTTTGGGGACAGGTATTTTTGAACAGCTACCATATGTCCGCAGAAGCAACCACAACCGCACGTCATCGTACGCATGTCAATGAGGGCCTCATGCTTTTAAGCTTCAAAATCCCGCAAGCCCACGACTTAAGCTCACAGCCCTTAAATCTTCAATTTGCAACCCTTTATACAGCCTAAACCCTCTAAACCTTACGAACCCCATAAGCCCCAAACCCTAGACCTTACATGCGACAGCCCAGATAATACCCACACATCTCGTCCATGAGGCTTGGTGAGAACCTAAACATCCTACCCTCGGGTAGCGTCACGCCTGAGAATGCGAAGAAGTGGCTGGAGGTATTCATTCGAAAATCCTAAGGGTTTAGGGTTTAGTCGTGCCTCTGGTTTTGGGGGTTCTTGTCCGGGATTTGGAGTTTAGAGCTTTGGGGTTTGAGGGCTTTGGGGGGTGTACGGTTTGGGGTGTGGGGGATTTAGGCTTCAGGGATGTAGGGTTTTTTTAGGCTTCAAAGTTTAGCTGCAAGCCATAGACTAAGCCCATGATTACATTAAGGCACTCCACTGGGAATATCTTGCATTTGTTAGTAGTAGGGTTTTATCAGAGAGACACACGCGTGCAGATATGAGCTATAGTCTAAACTCCATAAAGTGGGTTATGTACGGGATTACATAGGGAAGTATTATAAAGGTTCTTGAGGGAGATACAAGGAGCCTGGACTATGGCTCATATGGAAGTAGCTTTGCCAAGCCTTCAGGTGGGGTTGAAGATCCTTGGGCCCCAACAGTAGTGCAATGAAATCCTAGAAGCCCTAAACCCCAAATCCTAGGCCCTAAATCCTGGACCGCGTCTCGTCCCCGGATTTATTGTCTACTTGGTTGCAGCAAGACACTTTCAATGGGACGTTTGATCTTGCAGAGGCTGATTCAAGTTTTTTTTTGCGTTCCCACCTCATTTTATTGGATTCGGCCACCCAGAACAACAATCACTATAAGCCCCTGCGCAAGGCCGTGTTTCCATGTTGGTTCTATGGTCTTTTCCACTTGACTGTCCGTTATTCTTATTGTTTGCGCCCCTAAAGCCTAAACCATGAGTGCTACAGCAGCTTCCATTTTCTTGTCCATTCCTCGACTGTTCCAATTACCTAGACCCTCCATCTACCCGCTATGTACCCCGAATAGGACCCAGATACCCCTATTTAACGGGTAGAAGAGTGTACCTACATTACACAGGCAGGGGCAGCTGTGATCGGCATGGGCAGCAACCTCGTTGGCAAGGCAAGCAAGTGTAGGTGTTGGGTTAGTCCTTTGGGTTTAGGGAGTTTAGTTTTTAGGGTTTAGTGACCATTTTGCGGAGGTTTCATGAATTCCTTGCAGTTCCTCTTGAGGCCTCTACACAATCCGGTTTTGGGGGTGTGTTCGGGGAATCCTTCTCGGAGAAATACTTGCAAAGGCATTGAGAGCTTGGTGATTCGGGATAGTAGGCGCGCGATTCACTTCACTTTCAGCGACCGTTCTGTGAAAGACGCTTCATGTGCAAGATCTCCAGAATACATTGAGGTCACATGGACGGGTGGTCTTGTTGAATTTGGGTGGGCCGGCTTCTACAGATACCCGGGTCATGGTTATAATGAATAGAGTCCAGGCACAAGCCAAGAGACCACCTCCTAGCTATAGTTCCCCTTAACTAGATAGAATATGGCCTTGGGTATATTATATTGAGAGCCCCATATACCCCATATTCTATCTACTTAAGGGGGGCGATACCCCTAGGACTATGTAAACAGGCCTACTCCTGCCGAGCATGAACCATACTGAGGGCTTAGAGCGTATTTTTGCCTTAGGAGGCCTGTACGTCGAGATGTAGACATCCATGTTCAGCATCTAAGAAAAGAGGCTCAAAGCTCAGGACATGTAATGTGCGTGGAATATGTTAAGGGTCTATATGGGGTGGGGCTGAGGAAGATACTAGACTTCAGGCTACATAGCGCCAGCTTGGCCGCAGAGGGGGAGATGGAAGGTTGACAATTCTTGCAGTACTCGCTGCGTATCTTCTTTGACAGACTTCAAATGTTTTCAAGAGCAAGAGCAAATCTGTTACGTCGGAGGAACCCGTCAGTCCTTAAGTCCCTGAGAAAGCTTCGAGCTCAAGAACAATCCATATGCGTCTGTATGTGGCTTGCTACCACATTTTGTGCCGTGGTTGGTGCCTTGAGCCCAACGTGCAGATCGAGGTTCCATTTGTGCAGTTTTAGCAACCCCGGCATTGGAGATGGCCTTCAGAGCTGAAGTTCAGAAGCTTCTGACTTTACACGGAGCTGCCGTACCTTTTGGCAAATTTGGTTGCTGAATATGCGCCTTGAAGTAGAGCAGTAAGTGCTCCCATGAACTTGACACCCGCCCAGGTATCTTGAATTGTGGAGCGCTCCGACCCAGAACATGAGACCCTTAACCTCAAACCCTTACACCGCCTGTTAAACCCGAAACCTTACAGCCCTAGATCCCAAACCTCTGAACCTTAAACCCGAAACCTTACAGCCCTAGACCCCAAACCCCTCAACCTTACACCTCGAAGCCGCAAATCCTGCAAGTGGAGGACGTCTCCTTCCACCCCGGAACGGAAGATTTCAACAAAGCCCGAGCTGACTGGCAAGCGACAGGTTGCTAGCCTACAGCATGGAATTATGTACACATAAATACATACATCCGTACACACTTACGTGAACAGATACACACGGAATATGGAGGGTATGTATATATATACATATAAATGTATGTGTATAACCGTTTTTGTACATAGATATATTTGTAGGATGTCTATGCCCCCACCCCCTATAGAGCTATGACGATGTTTGTATAGAGCCTCAACCCTAGTCCCTCGTTAGTTTGGCAGGCCGCGTTCGCGAGACGGTCTTGGTAGGACTGATCCTCTTATGTAGGGGTTTCCCAAAATCATGGGTACCTTTTTGGGGGTCCAAATAATAAGGACTATAGTATTTTGGGGTCTATATTGGGGTCCCCTAATTTTGGGAAACTACCATATAGGTAGAATGCCGCGGGCGACTAGTGCATCTGGGCTTTGCAGAAGATATTGTCTGCCTAGCTGAGGAGGCCCTGACCCGTAAGCCCCTAAACGCTAAATCACGTGACTTAAGATTGCAGTCGGTCAGGGCTCCCAGCGCCTTGAGAATTCTTCGATGGCACGTTGTGAGTTTGGCGTTTCAGGGTTTAGGGTTTAGGGGTGTAGGGATTTAGAGTTTATTAATTTTCGATCTAGGGCTTTTATGCCTTTTTCTTGTTTGTACCGGATGCTGAAATGTTGTGACGGTGGAGCTTCAGATCTTGCGTCTTTTGAGTGCCCAACACTTGAAGGATAAGGTTGAAGCTGTGGAGATTCGCGTGTAGCTATCAGGTTTGCATGAGGTTTAATAATACGAGTAATACTAGTACTACTAACAATCGTAGTAATAAGAATACGACTACTACTAGTAATGGGTCAATGTGCATTCGACTGAATCATTGGCCCCAGGATCCTCATTCGAATTGCTCCGAAACCCCTAAATTCCAAAGCCTACCCTAAACCCTAAACCCTATTACACCAACCCAGGCTCTGGGGTTTATGTACAAGGGTTCCCGCGTCATGAAGCACCACACCTGACCCAAGACAGTCTGCTACGTGGAGGTCGCAGCACGGCAGAGAAGGTGTTCAAGGAGCTTGTGGCAGTGTGACGGCGCACAACCTGGAAAAAGCGTTTCACTATAGCGCCAGTATATATATTTATACACATATTTATTTAGATACACCATTACAGTGTAGGATTTTCTATTCCCATGATCCTTTTAGAATATATTCCCAGATTCCCTAACCCTAAACCGTAAAGCTGTTCAGCGGCTTACTGGCTTAGCCGTGTCAGCAATGATGCGGGCTGAAAGGCATCTGCAGGCAATGCCTTTTTTGGAGCTGTCAGCTGCAAATTCCCCACCTGCAAAGGCGCCAAGCTCATAGTACAGTCCTCGCATGGGAGTTTCTCTAAAATTACCCCATTGTTGATCCTTCATGGTTAATCGCCCTGCGATCCCCAAACATCCCCATAGCCCTAAGCCCAAATCCTGAGCCCCAACGGACCTTGAGAAGCCTTAGTAAGTTGAAGTGGCAGGCAGGCTCCAAGACCAACTTTTCTGACCTTAGACGGCAGCCTGTTTAGGGTTTAGGGTCCAAGGGTTCCGGGTCTTAGGGGTTCTAGAGTTTGGGGTTTAGGTTTCATGGGTTAAGGGTTTAGGTTTCAGGGTTCCCGGGCAACATACTCTCTTAGACTATAATGGCACTATCTTGGATCATTAAGGCGCTCGTGGGGGATCATCGTTAGTTCCCGAAGCCAGGCCCCCAAGCCTTCTGAAGTAGAGGATTGGGTTTGCCTAGCATGCCACACTCTTTGGCATAGGCCCTCCTAAACCCTAAGCCCAAAAACCCTACCCTACACCGTGTGAACCCTGTAAGCTCCAAACCCTAAACCCCAAAGCTCCAAGCCCTACCTGGTTTTTTTGAGATGTACCGTACGAAAATAGAGGACCAAACATGACAACACCCTGAACAGGAAGGACATCCAGGGTACATGTAAACCCCAAACCCTCAATCCTAAACTCGAGGCCCGAAGTCCTGAACCCTAAATCCTAAACCCTAAGCCCTAAATCCTAAATCCTAAGCCCTGAATCCTAAATCCTAACCCTAACTCCTTCAACATCTTGGGAGCAGGCATGGCTCAAGGACCATCAGCCAAGTCACAAGCTCCATTCCCGAGCAACCCTCAACCTCCTCGACCGAAGCAGCAAGGATACAAGTAGAGGTATAGGGTTTCAGGTTTAGGGTTTAGGCTTTGGGGGTTAGGGTTTGGGGTTTAGGAATTTAGGGGTTTAGTGTTTAGGGTGGTCTAAACTCCTTAAAGGGGGTTGTGTAGGGGATTATATAGGGGACTATTATAGAACTATAGGCGTTATCAAGGGGCATACTGGGAGTTTAGTTTAGACTATAGCTCAAGTGGAGGTATAGCGTACTTACGGTTATGCTGGATGTAGCCCAGCAACAGTGAGGTAGACACCTTCTTGTGCACACCCCAAAGCAACCTCAGACCCCCCAAAAAGGTCAAGATACCTTAGTTGTAGTAGGTACAAAGCCCTCTTTGAGTAAGCACATTGGTTACTCCAGGTCTTGGGTGGGTTAGGGCCGGGACTGCAACACTGACAAAGCCTTCGATCAGACAGCGAGCTTTACACGCGGCCAGCAAGCCATGGGCATTTCAAAGCCTGTTAAGCAATGTAAGACACTCGAACCCAATTTAGCAAATTTAGCGCTCGAGAATGGCTCCATGTCTGGTACAGCCGTGGACCCGTAAGTGAGCGGTGAAGAGATGACAGAAGATGAGCTTGAAGAAGCTGAGATGCATGGTTTGGGGTTTACAGGGATGCAGGTCGAGTTGAAGGGTTTAGGGTATACGGGGGGGGGGGGGGGGGGGNNGGGGTGCTGTTCGAGTTCACTGTTTTGAGAGTTTAGGAGAGATGTGTGTCGTTGTAGGTTCAAGTTGGTTCAAGCGTGTACTTGTAGTTGTACTTCAAACCCAAGTATAGCCGAGGGACCCATGCTAGGGCGATGTCAACCTGCTGTCTGAGTTGAAGGTTTAAGCAGGTTCCAACCACATTGATATTCCAAGTAATCAAATCGCTTCCATTATCTTGGGTCAATGTTCCCTTGAAGCAAGTTTTTGGGGGGTTAAGGGTTTAGG